CTCTTCTAAGTCAGAACCTGTGGTTGTGCCCTGCTCCCTCTAACTACCTAAATGCTTATTTCACAGATGAAAACTAGCGCAGCAGAGATATTCTCTTGTCCTCTCCCTCCCTGCCCCTATGCTGCTTGGTGTTGGGTATCTGTCCTAGGATCCAGACCCTACCATTATGCCCATGGAAAGAATTTATAACCAGACTGTGGAGCTCAGGCAACAGCAAAAAGGGGCAAAGAACCTGACCCAAAGGTAATGTAACAGATAACAGTACATCATACAGCACTTAAAACAGAGAGAGATTGTTCCCTGGCTACATACAAAATGTCCTGCCAAATGTCTATTTCCCATTCCAGATTTAGATCAAATTATTTCTTTTTTTTTTTTTAATGGGTCACTAGTCTGTTGTCCAAGAATTGGAAAGAGGTTAGTCATAGCAGGAGGCTTTATATTTTGTATGTTTTGTTAATGCAGTCCTTTTGTTTTATGCTTTGAACTCTAACCATATATTACAATATCCGTAATATTGAAATAATTTGGGTGTTGTCTCTTGCGTATTACTTTACACTGATTAAATAACACAGAGCTATTGTGTGTAAATAAATGTCTATTAATGCTGTTTCTGTTCTCCATATTTTTAATTTACCCCATACTTTTATGGGCTTTTTATCTTTCAGGAAATCTTACTATCTGTCGTTAAATATAAAATGATTAGCACAACTTCTGAAACTGGTGCATCATCCCTTTGTGGCTGGACTGCATGAGCGGCACAGATACCCAGTAGATGCTATCCCTGGTGTTGGTCACCTAAACCAAGATGGTTTCTACTTGTTCAAACCCTATGGTCTGCCTCATCCTAGTATAGGGGTAATATTAAGGTCAGAGAGGGATTGGCTCTGTCAGTTCATTCCTGCATGGAAGTGGGTTCCATTAAAGACAATGGACTAAGTCTCATTTTGTCTTTACACACCTACCTGCATTTACATAACCATGCAAATGCAATTTTTGGCATTTATTCACAGTCTGGATTTTATTTGCTCATGAATACTTAAGTCTGCCCTGTGCATGCTCAGTAGGCTCCAGTCTGACTGCATTCATTCTGGATAAAATGGAATAGCCTTGACACAGCATGATGCCGTGTGAATCCTAAGGCTTTAACCACAGAAAAAACAGTTCAAACGTGCAATTGTGAAAGAGGGGGTTTCAACTTGCTTCTTCCAAAAGCTTCTGTATGCTTTGCATTTAATATTCACTGGATGAAGTGGATGAACAGCAGTGAGGTAGCTTCTGTTTGAGGGGCAACAAGGGCAAGGACCAGAACCCCTCCCTTCCACGGAAGTTCAAACCGCATTGTGCAATAGACTTGATTTTCAAAGGTGCTGAACATCTATTGACCTAAATTCAAATGGAGCTGTAGGTGCTCATCACATTTTAGAACTGGGCCCAGTATATCTGGATGGATTTATCCAAACACCTACTAGAGCATGAGGTAATAAAAATGTCTTCTTGAGTAATAGCACTGGTCCTTACTTGTTAAAAGAAACAGATGCATATGAAATATTCCTTCAACTGCGTGGAATCACATGACAGAAAAAAAGTATCAGTAAAGTATAGGCACAACAGATTTATTAAATGAAACAAAAATAAAGCAAAAAAAAATTACCTAAATGACCTCCATCTCAACTACTCTGATCTACAATTAAACAGAGAATTGCAGTCATTCTTGTACTAACCTGGCTGTTAAAGTTGGAGACATGGCAACAGAAGTAAAAATCTCAACCATGGCCATTTTACAAAGATCAGCTGCAGATCCTACAAAAGAAAGTGATCCACTTTTAAAAACAAGCTTTTTAGAACTATTAGCCCATTTGAACTGATACCAAGTCTAAAACAGATACCACAAGACTAACAAAGGATAAGATCAATAGGAAGGAAGAAAACAACATTAAAAAGAGGTGTCAATCCACCTGAGCCAATCAAAACTGGAGTTTCCTTTTGAAAGGAAATTTTTGACATTTTGAAATCTCTTTACATTCCAAACTGGAACTAAAATAAATTAAAAGTTTCTACTTAAAATTTCATTAAGGAACATTTTTAAAATGTTACTTCAAAATGAAATTCCATTTTGAAATTTGATAGTACAGTTTTCATTATTATATTATTATTAATAATATTTTATCTGCTTTTTTAAGGGTTTTTTTTCCTTTTCCCCTATAAGCCTCTGTGAGTTTTTTGGGAAGGGCTGCATATAAATCTAATAAATGAATAATTTCATGTCATACCAATAGTAGTACTAAGAATATAATTATACATACCACGTAATATCAAGCATTGTTCACTGTTACTGCTACTGATCAAGAGGGAGAATGATTCCATAGCTCAGTAATTAGGGCAGTCCCACATTTCCCAGTTTCTGGATGATTGAGCAATTGTATAAAAAGTGGGGTGGTGGTGGTACTACCACTAGCCCAATTTAAGGCTAGGGAAAGACATTACACATAAACCAGTTTAAGTGATCAGAAACTGGCTTAAACCTGTAACAGGACATATGTTCAGTGCACATAAACCAGTTTGAAAATGGCTGAAACCAGTCTGAGATAAACCTGGTTGAATGTAGTACCAGACTTTGCTGATTTGGCTCAAACTGGTTTATGCAGTGTCTATCCCAGACCCTTGCTGGTTTAAGTTAAATCCAAGTACCCCAGCATCCCAGCATGCTCTCTGGGCTAGGCGGGACCCTTTGCTCCACAGCAGGGCCGGCCCCTCTCCTCTGCTCCCTGGCTGCAGCTCCAGCAGTGTCTGCAGGCATCTGCCTGGCTTCTGCTCCCCCACTCTCTGCTAAGCAGGCATCCCCCCATCCCTCACAGACACCTCTCAGCATTAGCTAGCAGACCACGTGCTGCCTATCTCCGAGCTGTGGCAGACGGGACAAAGGCAGAATCAACAGACAGCTGGTCATGTCCCTCTGTTGTTTTCTTAATGGGCTGATAAACACTTGAGTTAGGGGTGATAAACATTCCCTGCTGGGCTGGTCAGGAGGGGGGGACCCCACCCTAATCAGAGCATCCTGCCGGGGCCTGGCCACCCCGCCCCTCAGGGCACCTCTGTGGAAAGGGAGGGAGGGCTGCTGTAGTGTCCCCAGCTTCTAGCCTGAGCCACTGCAGGCATGTGCCTGCTTATCTGGGATGCCTGTCTGGTTACAAAACTGATTTAGCCTAGCCAGGTTAGACTAACCTGCAAGGACTGAATCAGTTCAGGCTCAGGTTTTTGGAATCACTGCCCTTAGGCTAAGAGAGCAACCCCTGATAACTCCTGAAAGGGTGGCTTGGGCACCCCAAGTCCAGGAGAAGTGCTGAGCTCAGAATCTCCATCTAACATAGGTGCTTCTGTAATCTAGAGAAGGGCACTTAAACCCTTGAAAAAGGCTGGATTTAAACACGCACCCCTCTCTTCAGTGTTTGCTATTGGCCAGCCTCAGCAGTTTTCTATTACATATACAAGATTTTATGAACCCTATTCTGAGATGCCTAACTTTGCCCATGAATTGTAGAGGTAACACAGGCATTTAGGTCTAGACTTGCATTGCAACATTCAACTATCCCTGAAGGTTACTTTTCTTTCCTTTTTCAAGGGCCAATGTGCAAAATAGTTATTACAAAAGACTAGAAGTTGGTCTAAATCCAACGTCCTGTCTTTCTCACTAGCCTAATATTAGTTGCTTGGGCAGGGCAAGGTACAAGACATTCTGCAGTTGGGAGTTGTGGAATAGCTCATTCTCAGTGAAAATGTCTTCCAAATGCCAAGGTTTATTCATGAAACAAAGGTCATCCTCCATTCTCAAACCTGTAGGATTTTTTTGAAGCAATACTATTTTCACAGTAATGGAATAAGAGATATTTATGAATAAGCACCCAGAAAGCATTTTTTACTTACTTTATGAGAGGAATCAGAGTGTTATAGCCTAAACAAATAATCTGGAAAGATTACGCTGGGATATTATTTAAAACAGCTGAATGAATAGCCAATAAGAAAAACTTATTAAGAAATAATTATATGAAAGCCAGTTACAACCACTTAGAATTGGCACACTGTATTTCTCACAGTATTTGTGACATTAAGTTAGGTAGCTTTTTGAATAGTAGTTGTTATATCAGGATATCTGAGATACAAGCTGCTAGGTGAAGTCATCATTGTATAATCACAGTAACAGTCTGGCAGTATTTTATTTCAAATGAATGACAATCATGGTCTTTAAAAATTCTTACAGCTAAAATTATGGAAGTAAAATCTCATTATATACAAGTCATTTTCTCAACCTTCTAAAATATATTTCAGAATACTAAAGCTGGGTGAAGATTTGTGTTGGAACAGCTGTCTGGCAGAAAATGTTGATTCCGTAAATATGCAGTATTTCACAAAAACATTAAAATTATCAAATAAAAAAAAAGTATTAACACTTTCCATTTTAATTAGAGCAAAATATGTCATTTTAATCAAGTTGAAGTACTTTGTTTTGACTCTCATCTTTATTATTTTCATTATATCTATTACATTTTATTAATCATGCTAGATTTTCTTACAAATATCAAACCAAAGCAATACACCTTGAATAAAATAAAAATGGTCAAGAGGGCTGTTTTTACATTTCCAAAAACATGTTTTAGAAATTATTTTTAATAGAACATTTCAAAATTTAATATTGTTTCAATTGCAATGAAACAAAAGTTTGAAATGTTGAAAATTTCTGATGAACGGAAATCTGGGGTTTCATCCAGCACTACAGAATTCTTTTTTAGTTGGTTATCTGAAACATAGACTATTGACAGACATTCATTAAAGGTGATATATGTGAATGGCAGGACACACGACTGTTGGGATTGGGGATCAGACCCCAGTGGTGTTCTGCTTGCCAGATCATGATCCTGGGCTCTGTGCCAGTGTGCTTTAAAATGGACGCAAGGCAGATGATCAGCAGCACTGGGACCACACTGTGGTTTGAGCTCATGAGGTCCTAGAGCCAGCCAATGATCAGCTGGCTGTCACGTAGCAGGGACTTGAGCCATTTGAGCCACAGTGCAGTCCCAGAGCCAGCCAATCATCAGCTGCATCACATTCATTTTAAGGCACAACAGAAATTAGTCATAAAATGATTATACATATTTAGCTTACTTTTGTTGCTAGTTTTGTGTTTTGTTGCACCATTAACTGCCATCCAGCACTTCACTACTTTGAGTATTTGAAAACAAGACATTAAAATAAAAGCAACTTTGGAAGGAAAAAACCCACTGCTCCTAGTTAGAAGAAAATTTAAGCAGCTTTTATGAAAAAAGGCCACAGCATCCTATTCGAAAAAGCATTTTTGGTTTACCTGATAGGATTCATAGTTCTGCTCTAACATTATGCAGACCATTAAACAGCATCTTCAAGGGAAACTTAAAGATACTAAGACCCAGCTGCAATAAAGGACTAGGGCTATGTTTCCCTGATAAATTTATTGTCTTCAGTGGCAATGCCCTGAAACACTTTGCTGCTGGAGATGTGTTGCCTTCTAACCAGGGAAGCATCCACTTGATGCTTGAAGCAGGCTTTATTAGCTTTAATGATTGTGCCAATTAAGACACCTCCAAGATGATTAGTTCACCTATGTGGATGCAGTTACACTGCATCCAGGTCAGGAGGAAACCAACACAATGAAGTGTGTTGAGGGTGCTGCTACCAAAGACAGTATGTTTACTATGCTATTATAGCCTTAGACATCTTTCCCCAGAATGAAATCTAAAACTCTGTGCTAGGACCTAGCTTTTATATTGGGGTGGGCAATTATTTGGGCCCAAGGCCCACATGGAGAGTTTTAATGAGCTGTTGCAGGCCAAGTGGACAGCATTCCTTGCCCCGCCCCCCCGCCCCGCCCTCCCAAACTACAACAACTCACCAAAACTCCTTATGGGGCTACGGGCAGGTGGGGAGCAGTGTCAGAAGTGGGAGGGTACAGGTAAGTCTGGGATCACAAAGATGTGTCACAAAGCAGTGACAGCTGGGGCCCGGGCTCATTCCCTACATGTCTCTGCCCTCAGTGGGAGTGTGGGCTGTGTGTGTAGAGGGACATGGGGGGCGTGCGTATGGAGGGATGAAGGGGGCACACACAGCAGATCTCACCAGGGTGGTACAGTCTACATTGCCCCTGTGGCGCTCTACATGGGGCCAAGCCCCACCTGCTCGTACTGCAGCCTGCACCACACTTCCACTTGCTCCCACAAGCCTGGCCCAGCCTGGTCAGGTGCTGGTCTGCTCTCCCTGCCTCCAGCAGCAGCTCCTGCTCCCGGTCTTGCCTCTGCCATGCCACGCAAGCAGGCAGCTTCGGCCGGGTGGCTCCTGTCGCAGCATGCAGGACTCTGGGCTCCAGCTCCTGAGAAGGCAGCTGGGAACTGAAGCTGGGACCCTGAGTACTGGGGCAGGAGCCACCCAGCTGAAGCTGCCTGCCCGATCACCCGGAATGGCATGGCAGGGGCAGGAGCAGCTTCCTGCAAACTGTTCCCAATGTGGCTGTAGCTGGACAGGTGCTGCTCTGCACTGCCTGCCTGCAGCAGTGGCTCCTCCTCCTGCCTTAATGCTCCTGGCGGGCAGGTGGGCAGCTTCAGCTGGGAAGCTCCTGCCCCAGCGCATGGGACTCCAGCTCCAGCTCCTGGCTGCTTTCCATTGGGAGGTGGCCAGGAGCTAGAGCCAGAGCCCCACATGTCAGGGCAGGAACCACCTGGCTGAAGCTGCTCAACCAGAGGGAGTGGTGCAGTGTGGCAAGGGCAAGATCAGGAGCA